CCAATCATAATGAGTKCAGGGCTCTACAGTAGAGAGATGCTGTTTTTATTGCTTGAAAGTATTTTTTAAAGCCATGACTAACAGCTGAATGASTTSGATGCAAATAATCTGCTGGAAGYKTGCGTGTAATTCTAGAAATAAAGCTCCAGGTCATAATAAATGCATAAAAAGTCAAGAAGTGTATGATCCAAGATGATATTTAACAATTATCTGACTGATTGGCTGCACAACAGAAGGGAAAAACATAAAAGTATCAGTCCCACAGGTTGAAAAGGGTGCAGCGAGATGAAGGAGGGGCAGATGTTGCCACACACACGACAAATATACCAGARCTGTGCTGCCAGGTTTAATGTACACACGCTGTAATAAAAACAAATCAACCCGAGATGTAAAAGTGCCTTTGGTTTCCCACATTACAGCGTATCCTAGGATTCTGTTGCTGAAACAAACAAAAAAAAGTGAATGATATAAATAAAAACACTACATCCTGAAGCCGAAGCGAGGAGGAGGAGCAGGTAAGCAGGTTTTCATGAGTCTTCTTTCACTTCCTGAGCAAAACAGTAAAGATAAGTCCAGGCAGTTCTGCATAAACTGGACTAAAACTCTATAAAAAAAAACTTAAATTGGCTKTTTATTTTCCCTTCATGATTATTAAAAGTACAAAATATCAAAAAAAGAAGATTATAGGAAAAGAGTAACAGTATAAAAGGAGATTAAACAATTAACTATTTCAATAATACAATAAACCACTTCTTGGTATTTAGATTTGACATTTTTTATATCCTGATTGCAAAAAACAAAATGAACTTTGGAGCTCAGTTTCACCCAGATTATGTTATCACAGTAAATAAACCTGTTTGTATTCTGACATCAGTTTGACTTTTTGCAAACAAAAATGCTCAAAAACAAAACTGACAAGATACAGAATCAAGTTGTCCATATTTTTAGGTCAATATGATTTATTTATCTTTCTGCACGGCCRTGTGTAAACAACTGCTTACACGACAGATTCCATGATTTTTCCCCCATATTTGTTAAGATGTTACGTTCCATTTTTTAAAAAGGATTAAAGTGAGAAATAATCAGTATTGACATGTGTTATTTTCCATTTAATTTGATGGTTTCTTTAAAAGATGGTAAGAAATTAAACAGGTCTATAAAAAACGCCAGCCTAATTAAATAAAGCCTGAGACGGATGATTTATTCGGCTCAGAGAATAAATCATCCCAGAAGTGAACCAGATTTAAAACCGAGACACAAATGTTTTATTTTCCCTCATAACAAACAAGAGTGTGTGTCATGGTTTTATGCATGAGTGTGCGTTTCTGATCTGCATCATCCATGTTGTGTTTCGCTCAAAGCGCCTCTGGAGAAATTACATAAAAAGCTGAAATGAAGACRATTTAAGCCCCAGTGACATAATTCTGGATCTTTTAAGAACAAAAACAATGAAAGTCTTTTGTTTATGGCCATTTCATTTTGTTTCRTGCAAAAACCCACAATAACACAAAATAAACATGAAGATTTTGTCCCTCTTTAATCCAGATTTTCAGTAAGTTCAATGAGAAAAAGATCCGAAATAACGGGTCACATTTCTGACAAAAGGGTTCTGTGGACTTTATGAACAGTTAAGATCTTACCTGCTGTAGATAGTTTGAACACCCTTAGTTTAACTACACTGAGGCGCTACAGCTATTTGCAAATTTCCATAGAACTGAGTGTAAATAAGAGTAATGTGAAACTGACAACAACATGAGCAGCCCAGATATTTAAATGATCATGAAATGTTGGAGACTGGAGTCCCTCTAAGATGGAAGCTATAGGCCTTCGCTCAACTCTGACTAGCCGTTAGCTCATCGGTCTAGTCAGAATTAAACTTAAATTTAAAAATAATAACAACAACAATAACAATAATAATAATAATAGCATTTAATTTGTACCGTATTTTCATTAAAAATATTCTCAAACTGCTACTAGAGGGGAGTCAGGACGTTATTTTGACGCCCTCTTTTGGTTTTGCGATGCCCTGTTTTAGTTTTGTGATTCCCCATTTCTTTGCATCAATGCCCTTGGGACGATGTGCCAATCTTCATGTTTGTCAAGATTTAGTAAACATTTCTGTGGATGAGGCAGATTTGACTCTCAACCACACTAGATAGGCCACTAGATAGCCAATCAAAATTAAGATGGGGGTGAGCCTTGGGAAAAATTAACTCAGATCCAGCAGTGCGCGCACACCGAGCATAAACCAAAAGTTTATGAAGCCAGTGGACGAGACATAAAGAATAAGTTGCATCGGGCTTGGATAGAAGAGGTGGGTAACGATTTTACAGCGTCAGGCTGTTGTGTTGAGTCGCCACTCCTGGTTTGTAAGCTATGAAACTTTTGTCATCAGGGGTTGGGAGGTAGAGGGTGGTAAACGTAATGGAAGGACCCCCGGCCGGCATGAAGCGTCAACACTACCTTCCAAAATCTTGGCTAAACGCCTGACCTCAGAACTTTCATTTGAAAAGATTTGTTAAAAAACATGTATTAAACCACCATATCTTAAGAACACAAATGCATTAAAAACTGAGTTTTAATAATAATCACTTTCTTACCAAACCCTGTTTGTGTGCCGACAATAGGTTCAAAACTAAAAGTAGTGTTTGCAAAATATCAATGTTAGGAGTGGACAGAAGCTGCAGGCAGGACCGTGTAGCACTTTGAAACACACCATATGACTGTTCGCCCTCACCACAAGTGAAGTGATCACCACTTCACTGAGATATGAGTAGTGAGATAAAGAGACCTCTGTCTTGACAAAATACACAGGATGAGATAGCCGGCTTCGTTTCACCCGTGTTTTAAAAATTAAATAATAAAATAAAAAAGCAGCAAAGCCACATGACCCGGTGCTTCATGGTTTGGTTGGGTAAGTTTGATGGTTTCACAAAATGCCAGCCACCCCCCACCCCACTCCTCTTTCTACAGCTTTTAAACAGCACATAACCTTCTGGCTATCAGCTCTACATTCCACATTCTTCTTCTTAAAGAACAACAACCCTGCCCCGAGGTGCTTTTATCCACTGAGCAAACCAAACTGCCCGCAAACAGACAGCTCGCAGCGACCCGTGAGGCACGCAGACGCAATCCATAAGTCCCCGTCCAACACGTCAGCAGAACTACATAGCCTAAGCAGGCTTCTTACTGCGCCGCGCTGCCCACACACACGTCACGGTAAGCCGTGATCACACCGAACACGGGATGCCGAGTGTGTGCCGAGAAAGGCGTGAGGCAACCGGCCCCGATCATGAGGATCAGATGAGGAACGCTGGCCTCGAATTACCCTGCAGGCCAGAGTCTGTTGTCCTTACAGTAATCAATGAAACAAGTCATACCGATCAGTTGACTCGGTCATTTTAATGACCTGGATTAATTTGTTTGACCCTTCACCGTTTAGGTTGCGTAGGACAACTATGAAATTTCAAAAGCTCGGCAATGAAATAATAAAACGTACAGTTAAGCCTATTTTTACTGGTGGTGTAGAGAGAAAAATTAAAAGCCAGTGGCTTAATAAGATTGAGTTGATCTTAGATGTAACTTTCAGAGGTTTAATAAACAAAAAGGAAAATGTGTTTTTCCACTAGTAGTGTTTAAAAACTCAAACATGATTGGAGGCCAGCAGGCAGACTGACTGAACACCTCTCTGTGGGTGTGACCGGTCTAAACAACATCTTGTAATCTAAATATTAAAGGCTTTGTCACCCTGTGAGTCAGAGGGGGATAAAAAGTTGTGAAAAGCATGGTTGACTTTATTTACATATTTACTTTGGCTCGACCACAGAGAAGAGTTTAGAAACAGGAACCAAACTGTTTCAAAACAGACCAACCGAAATGTTATCTGACAAATAATGGTTTCTGCTTTTATTAATGATACAAAACCACCATTTTATGGAGCACAAATGACCTAACTAGTGTGTGTGTTGGAGAAGAAGAATTGTTGGTGACTCAAAACCAGCAGCCAGTCAAGACAACCCAGCATTACTGGCATTCCTGTGCCCCATTATCTCCATGCCTCTTTGGTGAACACGGATCTACCTTGGGAGCCAAGCTGCCTTCACACCTGAGCGTCTGGCCTCAGCTCAGTATTCAAATGTCCAACACAGTAAAATGAGCCGTTCAGGCCACGGGTTCTATTAAAAAAAACACTGCAGTTTCAGGTCACAGTCACGTCACACCCACAGCAGCTTCGATGAAACCCACGGAGGCTCGACGTTGTGGGACCTGGACCAGGCTGCGTCCACACTACCAGTCAATCCTGTTAAATCTCTTTAATTAGACCTACCTGTGACCACGGGGGGCTTAACCTACATAATAAACAATGCGGGTTGCACCAAGTCATTCAGCAGCCATGGGAGGTGTGTTTCTTTCTTTTTTTTCTGGAGATTGCGCACAACGTTATGCGTAAATTTCGCTTATTTTCACACAAAAAAAAACATTCGACTCCTCATCGTTTTTAATCCGAATTTATTGGATTTAAAAACTGTTTATAGGACGGAGAAAGAGAAAGGTTTCTGTGTGGGGTGTGTGGGGGGTTGTGGCTCATGTCTGTCGCCTGCGCTTTGCCATCCTGCCTGGTAATTATCTGCTCCACAAACAGCCCGTGTGGGGCATCTCCTGTAATCTTCCCCCAAAACCAAAAACAAACGCACCCATATTTGCAAACAATCAGCTATGCGGTTTTACAGCAGGGACCCCCCCTTTTTTTTCTATTAAAACCACGAACGGTTTTGAGGCTTCCTCGGTTTGCCAAGCCGCCCTGGTAGAGCCAGGAAAAAGGCACCAACAGCAGCAGAGAGCCTCTTTTTGTTGGCACGGCGTGGAGAGAGGAAAAGGGGGAAAAAACGCGATTCCTCCTCCTGCAGCAGCTGAAGCAGAGATCCGATCAAACAGGCACGAAAGCGGCTCCGCTGTCCGTTTATAATCCACCTTAAAGAGAAATAATGCGTTTTAAATACCTTATCACATCGGTAGGATCGTCCTCAAGCGCTCTCTACCATCCTCCTGCTCATCTCACAGCCTTCGGGACGCCATGTTGCAAAGCTTATGACGTTAGGCTTCCTCACCCCTGACCCACATTTGAATAGAAACCAGCCCAGAGCGCAGCAGAGAGAAAAAAAAAAATACAGCCCACTGTGGGAGGGTTTGGCCACTTTCTCAAAACCAGAACCCCTGGCAAGTYTACCTGCAAGATGGCAGCAGCAAAGAGAGAGAGGAGGGTTTTAAAACCCTGATTCCTGGCAAAATTCCTGCTCTGATTCTGCTAAGTTAGGGGGCAAAATGCTTTAAATGCAAACAAATAATAAAAAACAAACAAACAGAAGTATCTACTTTTATGCTACTGGTAAAAAAACAGAAAACTGAWATAAAAAATATCCTCATGGTGATTGTTTATTTGTCCTTGACTATAAATGTCTACAATAGCAACATCCATGGAAAATTTGTTTGGGTTCAGAAGGTCAGGCGATATTTCTCCATGTTTACGCTCAGGTTTGTTGGGTGAAATTTGCAGATAAAGGTGCTTTGTTTACATTGATCGCATACCCACATTTCAAATTTTTATACCGACATGGCTGAAAGACCACCTGAGCGAACTCTTTCAAACCAGAATAATCTTTATGAAGACACCAATTTTTAAAAAACCTCCAGATGACATGACCACAGACGACCAGCCCTGAAACTAATCAAGTAAAGGTGATTGAATTACAAAAGTAATTATGTGTAAATTACTTTTGACAAAGTCACATTTCCCTTTATCATTGATTAAATCAACAGCATGTTTCTTTAGTCATGACTAGAGTCTGTAAAGGTTTGTGGTACTTTTTATACAGGCTTCACTTTGAACCACTTTAAATTGTTTTAGGATTTATGTGCAAATTTTAATTAAAAATCTCTTTAAGCCATTTAGAATTCAGAAAATGTTCCAAAGATTTAGTTTTACTTCTTTGATCTTTCAATCTTGAATTTCTATTGTGTAATTTACCACAAGGCTCCTGTATAAAGTGTTCCAAATAATGTCTTTGTACTCGCAGTGTACAAAATAAGTGTATTATCCTAATATAATATTAAATGGTCACTTGAATGTAGTATATTGCAGCTGCAACTCCTCCAATCTATGAAATGTTTTTTAGGTAAATTGTTACAATCTGAAGCTTTAAGCACCTGGCTGTGTGTTTAGTCAGGGAGTTTTAGATTTGTTCCATAACCAAGAGAGCTCTTAAATCTCTTGACTGTTTTTGATTTATCTATTTTTATTTATTTTATTTTTTAAAAAAGGGACAAATGAGAGAATGCTGGGGCACAGAGAGTAGTGGGCACCAGATGTGCGGAAGTGTGGCCACATGCAGGCTCCTCCTCTTTGCACAGAATCCCCGCCCACCTCCCCCTCCTCAACCAAAAGGAACCTCACTGATGTGTAGCCCCATGCAGTTAACTAAAATATAATTTAGCACATCAGTCTTAATAAAACTGCTTCCAACTGATATTTTCTCCAGCAGAAACTCAAAATGAACCAGAAGACATAAAAACAACCACAACCCTCCAGTGTTTTGATGGCAGMTATTCACCTTCCAGGATCTAAAAGTCTCAAGGCTCTCTAATGACACCGTGCGGTCACTGTTGGAACTGCACCTGAAACTGCAGATTTTCCCCTTAACAGCAAACCTTCCACAGAAATATTAGGTGTAGACTGGGGTTGGGCAATATTGCCAAAAAATTAATCACAATTAAATGTGGTATTTAACCGATATCGATTAATTTGACGATTAATCCCCTGGACACCCTTATAGACACATAACCAATTTAGTGGGAAAGATTCTTCATGAAAATCTGTTCCTAACTGTGTCAAAATTACTGACTTCAGGCTATACATCAAATTTAAAATTGCGTTGATAAATAAATAAACGACAACTTTTTTTAATTTTCATCTTATGTGAAGCGGAGAGGAGCACCAAGCAGACTGACTGGAGAAATCTCCACTCACTCTACTTGGTGGCATTAATCGTATTAATCGTCAAGTGCCAAAAAAATAATCAATTAATGTTTTTCTGAYGATTAATCGCACACGATACGATTATGCCCAACTCTAGTGTAGACAACCTACTAATCAGTCTTGAACAAAGACAGCTCTTTTCAGTTTTTTTTTTATAAAGACTTAATAGGATTTTCTTCATTTGTTTGGCCAYATTCGAACCAGTTGGAACCAGCTTGAGGGGACGGAGTGCTACAGTCCAGGGAATAAAATTATGGAATGATCTGGTAGATGACATTAAAAGGGCCAGATCAGCACGTTTATCTAAGAGAAAGATAAAGGTTAATCTGTTGGAGAAATATAAAATGATATAGTGTAAGATTTGTTGCTCAAGAAGAAGTCTGTGCGTTTTTTGTTTTGTATTCGGTATTTGAAGATTATTTTTGATTGAATTTGTTTAGTGAGAAAAGGGGGCAGATATCATAAGACMTTTTTCTTCTTCTGCTACCTTTCGTTTAATTTGTGACAGTATATTGTTGTAGTTTTGTTTAAATAATTTGTTGTTGTTGTTTAGACACTAGGCTACATTTTCTTTGCTCTCATTCAGTTTAGAAAATCACGCTGTTACGTTCAATTTGTGTTCAGTCAAAAGCAATTACTTTTAACGTTTACAACATTTTAAAACAATAAACACAAACATGACACATTTAAAGTATTTTTGCCTGTAATTTTTAGACATCAGTAAAAATATTCTTTTTTGCGCCCTCTAGCGGTTGAAAAACGATTTGGTTTCAGAGCACATTTTAATCAGTTTATTTGCYAAAAGAACAATAAAGGCAGTGTTTGTATGTAACAATATAGACTGGGGACTAAAAATTACTGTACCATCTAATGATAATGATAAAGTTATATAATTTAAACGTGTTTTTGCTTTATCCAGTAAAAATTTTGTTGATGTGTAAAATTAAAGTTTTCAAACCCAATCAAAAATAAAAGTAAGAAACAAAATCAGCATATCATATCAATGTAAGCGTCTTTAAATGAATAAAAAAAGAAATAAAAAACTTGCGTTTGTTTACCTGAACCTCAATGACAAAAATGACTGAAAATGTCAATAAACAAATAATGAATAAGTAAATAAATTAATATCTGTGCTGCAATTCTTAGGGCAGATATTTATTTAGTTGGTTTTAATTTAGCCTTTTCCCATTTCTAAGATAAATAGGGAAAGCATACAGACTGGTAAAAGTTGTAATAAAGAAAAAAAGTAGGAGGATAATAAAAATAAGAGATGAGTTTTTGTCTTTTTTAAATTTGTGATGATGTTATTGTCTGTGTGAGATGATTTGCCTGTAAACATCATGTTGACGCTGAAGGCCTCTTATTCCCCTGCAGGTTCTGAACCCACCCGAACCCCCCATGAAGCGTATAAAAACAGGGTGTTGCGCTCTGTTTGGTTTGGTGCGTCAGGATGCTCCTGAACACCACCTTCATCCCGCTGTCGGTGGATTTCAGCTCCCCGGAGCACTTCCTCATCTTCACCTTCCACCTCCTGTTCGCCACCAGCGCCGTGCTGGTGGCCGGCTCGGTGCTGGTCGGGATCTCGTGCACCGGGTCCCTGAGAAACCAGAACCGCTTCATCTTCATGCTCAACACGAGCATCAGCGACACCCTGACGGGCCTGTCGGTCTTCTACCTCGGCCTGTTCGACGTGCAGGAGGGCTACCCGTCCAGGAACGGGACCTTCTACATCCTGCCCTCCTTCCTCGGGGTCAACATGTTGACCTTCCTGTTCGCCCAGTTTGACCGCTACCTCGCGGTCTGCTACCCGTTCTTCTACCACCGCCGCGTCACCAGACCGGTCGTTGTTGGCTTTTGCGCGTTCTGCTGGTTCTACACCTACTTCATGCTGATCGTGCAGAACTCTTTGCCCATCTCAAAGGCGGCTCAGCTGCAGGCGTTTTCTGTGTTGATCCTACAGATTATAGTTCTGATTAAAGTCACGATGACAGTTAAACTGTACATGATCGCTCGGGGCCAGCTGGTGAGAGAGGCGCCCAGCGCGGACAGGGACAGCAAGAAGGAGTCGCTGCGCGTCATCGTGTTTGTGGTCATCTGCTTTTTGGTTCTGTGGGGTCCCTCCTTCGTCAACATCATCCTCAGACAGCTGACCGGGTGGGGTCTGAGGTTTAGGAACGAAGCCACAAACCCGTTCGCCATCATGGCGCGCCTGAACGCGCTGGTCACTCCAGCGGTGTACATCTGGGGCAGCCCGGCGCTGCGGCGCGCCGTGTGGAGGACGGTGTGGAGGAGGGTCTGCCCACGGCGAGGGGCGAGGGAACGAAAGGTCTGACTCTCAGACACGGTGGGGCCGATCTAACCTTTAAATCATCCGAACCAGGTCGGGGGGAAAAAAACACACAACATCCATTCACGAGTTCTCAAGTCCCTTTAAAAAATAAAGAAAACTGAAACATTTTGTTACCTGAAAGCTGAAATATAAATTGTGTGTATTTTCCTTTACAGCTGCTCTGATATTTCTACTGACATTGTGTTATTTTTCTCAGAAAGCTCAACTCTTGACTTAAAAAGTTTTATTCCATGAATTTGCTCTTCTTTCTTTGTGCTTCATCAGAAACTTCTCCAAAACAAATAACTTCAAATGTCCTCAAAGCAAGTTCTTGTTGTTTTATTTGATGTGGAACTGAAGCAGAACAATGTCAATTTGAGCCAAATTAGACATCCAGCCTGTTGACATAAAATTTAAGTCTTGGACAGTGTTGATTTAATGAAGCTTCAGTTATTTCAAATGTCTTATTATTCCTGCATGCGATTTCACTATAAAGTTAAAAGATGATAGATTCAGGCAGAGTTGCTGCAGAATTTGTGTCAGTTTGACACTGTGAGGCCATGCTGTTGTGATGGGAGCAGATTGTTTTATTGAAACATGAAGGCCTTTCATTAAACAGATCTGGAGCAGAATATTGATCTAAAACATGTATTTAATGCCTTTCAGATGTGCCAGATGCCTTTTTCAGAGATGCCAATGGACCCCCATACCATCAGAGAGGCAGGCGTATGAACTGTGTGCTGACAACAGGGTGGACGGTCCACTTTTTTGTTATTACACRGTGGCATCT